CACACACACACACATACACACACACACACACTCACACAGAGAGTGAGAGAGAGACACACACACATATACAAATTTAAATACAACTCGATTTGCAACACATTTGTAATCCAATTTTTACGCTGCGCAATGCCTTCGTAATCCAAGTGTGAAAAATTATATTGATGGTTTGCAGGGCGTTTTTGTTCCAACCCAGACAAATTTTACTGTGTGCTATGTCTGCTTTTAATCCATATAGAAATGATGACACAATGTGCAAAGCCTTTATAATCCCAGGCAGAAAAATTAGATAACACACGATGTGAAAAGTCTTTATACTCCACAGTAGAATAATACGGGGGCTGCAAAGCATACTATAACACAATCCAAGTGAGAAATATATTATAATGATATTCACATGGTTATCTTTTCCCCCGGCACGTTCTCTAGGTCAAGAGACCGTTGGTTCCACAAACCATAACAGCACCGTGCTCAAGGAGCAAGACGTGAACGAACGCGTGTTTAGTATTTCGCACGAGTCGTGTTGTTCCCACAACATACACTACACGCGGGCGCACACGCACACACGTTTCGATGGGAATGAAGATGAGACTGCGGCGTGTGACGTACGTGCGTGCTGTGTGTGTGTGCGTTCTCTGTGTGTGTGTGTGTGTGTGTGTGTGCGCGTGTGTGCGGTCGCTGTAAGGACAGGGTTAATGTTATGGAGCCTGGTAATCGAGGGAAGCGATTACTACGGGTTGAAGGGCCTTTTTGGACGCTGAATCGGTATGATAATAGGTTCAAATGTATTAGCTAGAGTACACTGATTGATTTGAGTTTTTTTGTTTTAAAAAATTTTTAAAAATTTTTTGTAATCGCCAAACTATGATACATATACATGTATATGGAACAGTCCAGACTATTCAAATCAACACAGAAAGAAGCAAAATGCACCCCTGCCTCCCCCCCCTCCCCACTGCTGCCAGTCCAATCGTAAGGTAACTAATGTGTTTGTTGTTTTGTGGATGTGTTTTTAAAAAAATGCCGAACACCTTCATGGCTGTCTGTGAAGTGCGTATAAGGAATAGTAAGCGAGGTACTTGGGTGAATTTTATTTTAAAAAATGGGGGGGGGGGGGTGGTATTTGGTTTGGGATTTTTTAAAATTGGTATGCGAATTGGTTACTGATCACACGTCTGTGAATCCACCACCCCCCTTTCCCCTCCTAATTTTCTGCCCTAGACGCCCCACGCCCCATCTCCGAACATTGGTTCCTTGTGCGACAGACATGACTAAGACGAAACAGTTGGAAAGTACAGCTTGGAATAAATAATATTACTGATTCTGTTGGTGGTAGTTTGTTTTCCCCCCAGCAGGTCTGCATTTGTCCGAGGTAACCTTTTTGTCTTCAGCTTGGTTGTAGTGTGCCAGTTTACGTCGTCTGCATGTCCCGGGGTCCGTCTGCATTCCAATTTTGAACCTTCTTAGCTAGCTGTACGAGAACGAGTCTCTAATGAATAATTCATAATGGGCCTCTAATAATCCCAGTGTGTGGATGTTAATAACAGTAACAGGCGGAAAATTTACTCTCTGCTTCAATTTCCGTATGTGTGTTTTGTCTGAGTACAGCGGAGCACATCGAGATAAAGACGGCTGTTTAGTGTAGGAAATTAGTAAGGCAAACTGAAAGAACAGAGGGAAAGAAAAGCCAGTGGTGCCCTCCAACTACCCGCCGAAGTCCCTTTGTTTGTTTTGGCACACTTTTCCGTGGCCGGTTGGTAGGCACTGTGGTGTAGTTTACCTCCTCTATTTCATTTCGATGCTGTTATGTTGTGATTGTAGGTAACAGAGGTAGAAGTAGACCAAGCCTTTTTTTTAGAGATCTCAAACAGATGGGTGACGGGAACAG